ACTCCCCCGCTTTAACACATTGTTTAACTTTAGTATCAATTTCTCAACAGGTTTTGGACATGAGACTTATTATCTAGATACAGTTGTATGTGTGCCATATTTCTGGTCTTCACTGGCAGATGATTTTTCATTTCCTTTTACCCACAGTTTGTGTCATTTATTTGAGTTACTTCAGTTATCACAGTTTTTATTTCCTTATCAAATCAGTGTGTAGTGATGATTGTTAATGGTTTTTTTTATCTAAACAACTATGACACGTTTCAGTAACACAGTTCAACCAAAAGTTACCCTACTTCGTTAGACGCTATTTGCTTATCAGTTTCAACAGATTTTGAAGTGACGAAATTGGCAAATTAAGTCTTTTTTGAAGTGAATTCCAATCTGTATATCTGTTAATATCCCATTTTTGCTTAGTAACAGGTTGTTCTTCTATTTTCAATTCAGGGATTGTTAGCCTGGTACTGGTATACATAATACCGGTATTACGAATGAGTTTAGTATGTATAGCGCCCCCATGCGATCAGTGAGATTGTTATTTTGTTTTTAATACATTCGGAATGTCTTATGAAATGAGCAGTAGATAGTTGTACAAGTTATGAAGCGGGCCTGTACATTAGTAGAAGTGCACACTAGAAATTTAAAAATGGAATGTAAATATTGTTCACCTGTGTAAATGGTCACCACTCAAGGACAAACTACTGTAAAATACTTTATTTTTAGCTGGAATTAATTTTCACTGAAAAGGTTTTTCGGGTGTTTTGTATGGAATTTATTTTCACTGAATCCAAGCGAAAATGTATTTTTAGTAGATAATTTGCTTGTCAACCAGAGGCGGCGGTGCCGCCCCACTGTCAATGTCGGATGGACTCGTTTGATATCTGTTGTGCTGGAGGAATTTTGTCGCATAAATATTCTTCCAATTTTTTTACATTTAAATTATGCAGACTTTGTGTAAAATTTGCTTGTCCTCATCCACGACAACTTTTTTTTTTGCATCATCTACAGGTCTACATGTCGGTTTTCCAACGGGCAACCCTCAGGCTAGCTAGTTCTACAAACCAGTAATTTAATAACATTGCACTTTATGCTCTGTGTTTCAGTTATGGACCAAATTTGAGCGAAAATCGTGTGTAGCAAAATCTATATAGAGTTCGTACAGGGCACAGAAATAATTAGTCTTTCCGGTTGTAGTACAAATGACCACGCACAACGCATAAATCGTTTTTTTTTTTTTTTTGTCGGCTGTATTTAGATTGCGATTTACAGTTACTTAATTGTGTTTTCCAAAAAAAGGGTTGAATCAAATGAATACAAATCCCAGTGAAAAGCATTGTTTGTAAACTAATCGTTGTTTTCTTTTCAGTTTTGTATTAGTCAAAGCCCAGATTAAAAGTATGTAGTCATTAAACTACTTTTCGCAACAAAACACCACTCAGGTCAATCACCCATGATATGGTGATTATTGAGCCAGGGTAAAAAGTTCTCATTATATCTAAAAAGAATCCCTTTGGTCACATATGGTGAAATATATATATATATATATAAATAGTTATAATTGTTTCGTCCGTATTTATTAGGGAGAATACCAGTAATCAAATAGTAACTCTGTCGCGTTGCCCGGCAACGTCATGTACGCAGCACAGTGGCCGGTGTTTTCGTTGTTGATGGACTGCACAGAATCACCGTCCCTCAACACGAGGGACGGTGACAGAATGTAGCAGACCGAGACGGGAACTGAAAATTGTTACAGCAAACGCGAGACACGAAGCAACCGGCAAAGCACAGGCCTGGCACAGTCGACACAGCGCAGGTACCTAAGAAGACAAGTCTACGCTAAAACTGATGTATGTGTCAACTTTTAATAAAAACGCCTAACAGTTGGACTACAGACTGGAAAGTTTATTCTTGGTTTACTAAGTAAACTCGCAATGGTTTGTAGACACAGTCTGATCTGTGTGTGTACTTTACTCGTGGTTTACTCGATTGCTTTAGATAATCCCATTATATGCAGTCAAAAGTAAACAAAGCAAAGAAATGTTAGAATCCACTTTACGTCTTGCTGGTGGGGGCATTGTTACACTCTTTGGGGCGTGACTTTATTGTAAAGAATAACAAAACGTGCGCCTTCGATCTCTCATTGTGATGGTTTACCTTAGCAACTGGACCGAATCACGTTCTATATATTAATACACTTTCGAAACACGATCTGAATTATACAATATGCTGATTAATGCCTAGAAATCATATATAAATAATAGAACTAACGAATCCAATTCAGGATCTGTGATGTGTTGTAAATTCCACATTATGCGTATAAAATATGGAACTATTTTATCTTAGTGGAAGGCTACACAGTGAATTGGCAGAACCTAGCGATGAGAATTTTGAGTGAACATGGCTGCCGATGTTTCACCTGCGAGCTTTTCACCTGTGAAGTTGGGGATGTCATATCTCCCTTCATTACCACCCCATACTCCAAAACACGCAGCTGCTTACCCGAGGTATGTATTTTATTAAATTCAGTCGAGTAGCGATAAAATTAGGATAAACGGGTGTTTTTTGCTGTTCAACGTAGCAGGCGACAGGTCCTTTCCGACATGTGATGTGAATGCTGTTGTAGACACGTATTTACTTTGAATTTAAGCTTTATTGGTTATCCACAATGACGCGATCATAGGGTTACTTTGCACTATAATTCACAATGTAAACTGGTGCGTGGCTCGGTAAATACTTAATTCGATGCCTTTATCCTTCACAGCACAGCTATATTGCTTAGATGTTGATCAACGCCAAACACTCCAGTCCATAGGAGTGTTCCAGTGTTTGTAATTTATACAATTTACAGGCAAAAAAAGTTGCAAATCTCTGTTTGTCAAATTATAACCATTCCTAGGACTTTGAAACTTTTCGCAAATCAAAATTGATACGCGAGCCGTGAAGTGGAAAATAATTTTAAAAATAAAATAATATGTGTTGCTGCCGTTAAAAGCAGCTGCAGGTGTAAATTTGATACCTGTCCACAACTGGTGGCATAAGAATTGATTGAGTCATAACGACACCTCAGTGTGAAAATATTCTGTGGTTGTTATAGATACCATATTTCACAAGGTGTGTCATGTTATAATGATCCAGCATATAATAAATCCATTTTTTTGGCATGTGTGAGATGCGCTTCTAATAGAGCAAATTATTTGATTACACAGAGTGGTTATTGAATATGGTGGTTATTGAATATGGTCTTTATATAGAGGTTGGATTATTTGATTATGAATTTCCATCTTGTACATTCGACAAAATATTTGTTCAAAAAATAATGAGATTGTACCGTTGCAACGAAAACACATTCATTTGAGTTGATCAAAATCAAATAAATTTGACTTGAGAAAATTAAAAATTGATTTATAAACGGAATGCTAATTATTATTTTGGTCTCTAAACAGAAAAAAATCTGTGAAAATATTGCTGAAGTGCTGGTCACATAAGACAGGTGATCTCCATACACATGTTATACATATGCTATACTTTGGGTCTGCCTAAAAGTGTCATTATAGGGCAGGTGGTCTTTATATGGAGGTGATCACTAACGCAAGTTTGACTATTTACTGTACTGATATAACAATTGTTTTTGCAAACTGTTGAACAATTGGAACAATTGTAAAAAACAAAGCTATAAAAAATGTAACTTAATAAATATCACCTGAGGCAATAAGACCAGTGTCACTAACTGTTAATTGTGTTCCCTTCTTCAATTTGACCGATACATTCAAATAGGAAATACCGGTACTGTGAAGGGGGTAATTATTCACTGGGTTTTAATTTAGCTTATTTCGCTGACTGGAAAATGCGCTAAATTAAAACCCAGTGATTGTGTAAAATTTAGCATAGAACACATTATCTAAATGACGAAACCGTGAATTTAAAACCCACTGAATATGCGTGAAATGGTAAATCAGTGAAATTTAAACCCAGTGAAAATTAGTCGTTTTACAGTAATCTTTTGCGGGTATGATCAAAGTACTGATATATAAAGAATGATTTTATCCTCGGGCAGGGTTTAGGCATGAACTTGGTCTTGTGGAAGACATTTCTGGGTTAAGGTATTTTTAATCTCCTTTATTGGAATTTCTTGATGGTATGTGACACATTGATGTATTATTCTCCTTTGGGACCTTAAACACAAAGGTTGGTCATGTACCCATATAGAACAGCCCTCTTAAAGAGTTATTCATGGCAAACACAAGCTTACCATGTTTGAATTCTCTATAAATCCCTTTACTACCGGTAGTACTCTCACAAGCAGACGCAGTTGAAAAGTTAGCAGTTTGAAATGATTCTTTATATAAGTTTGGCATAATTTAAAATAAGTCATTTTAGCTAGCGCTATATTTTAGCAAATTTAGTTTCTATATTTTTGATGATTTCAGTCGTTCCTAATTCAGCAAAATGAGTAGGTATAATGAAATTGTGGGTACTAGCTAAATTATAGTTTTTATAATTAAAGGGCGCCGTATCCTCTTCGATATAGGACTCATAGCGACGTATACAACGTGTGTAAAATACATTGTTTATTTACATGAAATTTGAACATGTGCTGTGCGACAACCACCACGCTTTAAACTATAGTATTAAACTATAAATTTGCTAAATTGGTATGCAGATATTTAAAAATTTTATAGTATTATAATCCTACTTATGGCAAAAATATCTTGGTAATGGTTAGATGTGATGTTTCTATAAATTTGCTAAATTGGTATATTTTGAAGTTTTTCAGTATTATACTGGTAATCCTAGTTATGGTAAAAAATATCTTGATAATGGCTGGACGTGTTGCAGGACAATATAGCAATAGTCAAACATGTGTGATAGTTAAGAATAATTGACAATTGTTATTGTCTATAGTAGTCACGGTAACACAACTATCAATTATTGCTGCAAGCTTTAACATCTGAGTCACTATATGCGACTTGTAAATACCAATAAGTACATTCAGCAGGCTGGCAGCAACACTCTGTTGTATTTGTCATACCCGTGTATTTATTACACATCAAATGATTTGCAAGCGCCTTTTAACGACCTCCGGGGTTGTATAATACCTCATTCAAACAGAGATGTATTATGTGCGATTCTACCTATTTTTAAAGAGGCTTTGTGAAGTCGATTAAAGGCGTCTTACACAGTTCCGGGTCAATCCTTCTATAGTGGTGTGTATTACCATCCAAGTAACAGTGTGTTGTGTAAGCCATAAGGCATCAAGAAAGTAGTTCTCTACTATTGTTGTATATGCTTTATTGTTCTTTTTTCTTTCTTCAGGGCAATGGAAAGCGCACCAATGACAGCACTAGCTGGTGTAGTGGTTGATGGTCGAATACCTCCAAGAGTGAGTCTTGATTAATTAGTTTTTGTATTGACTACAGATCTTCAAGGAGAGATGCACATATTATGGATAAAATATCAGTTGATCAATAATCTTTGTTACGTATTCATTTTGAAACCTGAAGCACTCAAATTTGTAAGAGACAATTTTTGAAAAATTTGGAAGTCAATGTGCAGTCAATATTTCACGGTGACCTTTGTGAAATAATGTTATGAACAGAATTATATCATCAAAACTTGAAAATTCCAAGCAGTGACAATTAAACTGCAATATTTACAATAATATTCAGAAATAAAATTTATAAGAATCAAATGGCAGTATTTATTGTTCTGATTAAGCAGCTTGAACAAATATTAATGCAGAATATCAATACCTTATAAGGCCATAATTATATATATATACACATTATATCTGATAAACATTCAGTAAACCTCTCTCCTTTTCCCCTGTCTTTTATCAGGCAAGTATGAGCTTGTCGCACCATATCTTTTCTGCCCAACCCCCGCGGTAGTTGTTATGAAATATAAAACGATGGCCAAGGTTTTAATTATAATACTGTAGAATACTTTATTTTTTGCTATTTTCGCTGAATGAATGATTCAGTGAAAATAAAATCCAGCGAATATACCTTCTTTCCTTTATTTTACATTCAACTTGTCAAAAATCAGTGAAAATAAATTCCATACAAAACACCCAAAAAAGTCTTTACAGTGAAAATTAATTCCAGCTAAAATAAAGTATTTTACAGTATATAAATGTAAATTCACCATCTTGTTAGTCACATTAGGTAATTCCCATCCAAAAATGTAATACATGTATTTTGCTTTGGTGTTTATTTTAATATTAACATTCTCCTATAGAGATAAAAGCATATCACAAATGGTTTTCTATTTATAATATATAACTAATACACTATGTTAAAGTGCATCAAATTCTCACTGAGTGTTTATAGATTGTATAACAAAGTTTCTATGATGGCAACAACTAAAATGTTAAACTTAACTGGGTTATCATGTTCCACGTCAATGGTACCAGTCTTCTAAATTATTCCATGTTTGTTTACTAACTAGTTTATTTCCCTGCTTCAGTGGTACTTCAGTGGTTTTGTTTATTGCTCACTCATAAATCATTGAGTATAAAGTGGATAAATCTATGCCAGTCATGGCTGGACAGTCGTTGTAGATACATGTATCAATTTATTTGTTCAATATTCTCCTCTATCACTGGTATGTATTTTCTGCAGACATGCAAAACAATGTTTTAATAACCCAGCCTAGATGAATGACTATAAGTACAGATTGAAAAGAAACATTAGTGTCTATGGAAACTGATACACGATCAGCACTTGTGGCTGAATAGGACACCTGTTCAGCCACCTGTTTCAAAGATTTTTCACCAACTGTAATACTATCCAACCTTTTACGAGTGCCATGGGTCCATGTGCAACATTTACTAAAAAATGTGTGATCACTGCAACACTTAAAAGAGTTGTAAGTCGACACAGTCATGGGCATTCAACATGGTCCCACATACTATACGCACATGGGTCAAAGGTGTTTTATAACTCTACTACAGGGCGGGCTGTTCATGTAGACAATTGTCTGTCGTTGTTGACCGCCTGCCAGTTACATTTTTTTCCTCTTCTTGAAAACTAATTGCTTTTATACTTGATATATTGATATAAACGTTTTGTAACAAGATAAAATAATTTTAATTGCCATGGCATTAACCAAATAAACTACCATGGTAGTAATACAGCAAAAACATTGTGGGAACACTAATAACCATGGCAAATAGTTATTAAATAGCTCATCGTACAACTTTATTCTGAGAAAGACACTCTACAAAGGCAGCAGAGCTATTTCAATCGTTAGGTCGCTTCATTTGAAACACAAAATTTAAACATATGCGGCCATGGCAACCTTTAAATAGTGATGTAACATCCATCAATTAAGTTAGTGTTTTTTTTTCACAGAAATTATGAATTACAATGCATATTGGTAAAAGGCTTTTTCCTACTTGTAAAGCACCTTCAATATTATAATGTAAGGCAGCATACAATAACAAAAGTTTTATTTTTATTTTTAGTTTCCCTCATCTCCAAGATGCCGTATACGTAACCAAGTAGGTGGCACTAATCGATGGAGATTACCAGAATCTTTAGGTGGTGATTTGTTGGGCACATCACAAGCATTGAGATCATTACATGTTCCATATAATAAAACACTTATGAGGATCATATCAGGTATGTACATACTGTATACCATAAAATCTCTATTAGAAACCACATCCCTAATACTAGTAAGTCACACCCATTCCTTTTAAACAATTGAGAACCAGCTTATCTTGTATGTTTAGATGCTCTAATAGAATCTGCATTCCTTCTGTTGTATTGTACCATTTTAATAGAAGCCACGGCTTCTAATACAGATTTTACAGGAGTAGTTCTTATTTTCATACAGTGTTCTCCCCAGAATTTTGTTAGCAAGAAGACATCAAGAAAATATATTTGATGCTTGTTGTGATGTGAAATGTATGCGTAGAATTGCAGTTACAATCTTTTATTTGAAAGTGCAACAATTGTGCTAATTTTCTAATTTTCTTTCAAATTCTGAGTTTTAACTAAAAAACAAGAATTAAAAAAAAAATGATATAAATCATTATACTACTTGGTACAGCAAGGAAGCACTCAAAAATTGTATGGGTGCAATGCGGCCCCGTTGTCCTGTTCAGGGAGAACACTGTTTTCATATAAAAAATACATCTGACAGTATTTACATTTCATTGGACTCATGCATTTTCTTACTGAACTTTTTCATACAGACATGTTGCCTATTTTCAGTGTTTACAACAATAAATGTTTTAAATAATTTATTAATGATTAATGGTCAGTGTATTTTGATTAAATACACACTATAAATAGATAGATACCCATGTAGAAAACACTCATGTATTTATAATTAACACATATTAGGATAGCGGAAATACTAGAAGGCATCTATAATTGTCATGTATTATATTTAGAATAGAATAGAATTTTTTTATTAACACCATAAAATATTGTGACATTTCTTTTTTGGTTAATATATGTTAATAAAGGTTTTACATAATTATATGTACTGTAAAATACATACGGTAAAACTGAACAAGCATATTTTATGTAATTTATAGCACTTTTCAATGTGCATTATATGTTTTTTTTATTAATGTACCGTACTCGATCGTGTTAGCGCCTAGAGTCCTCAATACAGAAAATCATGATTTTTTAGGGGTGGGCGCTTACCAGAGCACCCCCCTCGGAAAAGTTTGCAAATGAAAATTTTAATTGACCTTGTGACAGATTGAGGGGGATATTACGTCTTACAAGATCTGTCAGAACACAGTCAAAGTCGTCATCATTATCTCCACTGACAAATGAGTTCGATTGTTTGCAAACTCTTGATGAAAAGCATGCACTTTCCACAATCATGTATTTGCATGATTTGACCTGCAACAACGTCCTTTGACCTATAATTGGTCAAGTCTGTTTTTAACCAATCAGAATGCTGTGTTGTACTGACGCAATTCTTCGAAAATTCCAGAAGACTTTCTGGTAGCGCAATGCGGAAGTGAATTATCGATGTCAAAGTAAGATCTGTTGGAATTGATATCAGTGAATAAACGACATGTTTTTTTTCAAACAAACAGCCTGTCGGCTTTTTACCAAAAATGACAAAAAAAATTCTCAAAATTAGAGAATTGAAGATATCATCACAAAATGAACAAATGTGAGAGAGGTCTACATGTAGTACGTATATATGTAATATCAATGCAATCAGACTTGCGGTTTTCAATAAGAAGTCGAAAATATCACTTTTTACCAAAAATGACAAAAATATTCACTAAAATTAGAGGATTAAAGATATCATCACGAAATGAACAAATCTGAGAGAGGTCCACATGTAGTACCTATATATATGTAATATCAAAGCAATCGGACTTGTGGTTTTTCACAAGAAGTCAAAAATATCACTTTTTTTTTAGAGGAAAAGTGTTGTGCTTCTTGTAAACTTTTGGTTTTGGTTTTGATATTCTATAACATATACATTGTATTACAAAATATGCTTTATTGCTTTAGGTGAACATCCAAGTACCATTGTTAATCTTGATGCACAAAAACCGTATGAGTTTCCGTCGACTGAAGGCCACACACGACCTCTAAGTAGTCAAGAATGGATCCGTGAAGCAAGATCCAAAACACCAACCCAGCCACCACTGCCTGCATCAGCTCCAGCCAGAACTACAAGAAAACTCCCAAGGTAATTTTCACGTTTTTTGTGACTACTTTATTGCATGAGTCAGAATACATACTTTTGTAATGGTGTTAGATGTCACCTAATCACCCAAGTGTATTGATATGTTGGTGTAACTGAAAATGGCAGAATAAACCTGAAGTTAAACTTGAAGCTCACTGGTTTCTTTGATGTTTTGTGTGTTTCTGAGTCACAACATCACAATTTTGTATTTCAAAATTACTCTGAAGAACAAGCATGAGCAATTGCAGCAACATACTTCAAAATTACTGAATTTTTATATCAGAGTATACATATTGTATTGAAAGGACAGGCAATTGCAGCAAACATAGTTCAAATAAAAAACATTCTAGTGTGCAACCAACATGCTCTATTGAGCATGCATTTCCCTGCAAAATTTTTTGCATTTATTACTTGTCAGGCTAGAGTAACAGTATATTTATAGAAAAATGACAATGCCTATCCATGTGTATAAAAATGGTATTTAACAAATTAAATTCCAATTCTAAGACATTGCATACCACATCAAAGAAAAACTGCAGTTGCATGTCCATGATAATGTTCTTTAGTATCCATAGTTGCATTTACTTCATTTGTCATGTACATGTAGAAATAGAAAGAATACTTCGAAATAATGTGAATATTTTATAAATTTCTATTTTACATGTATTACTTACAGCCCACTGCCATTGAATACATACAGGCCACCAACAGCCAGGACACCAACACCTATTGATATATTTCATTATCATTCTAAGCATGTCAACAATAAAAGTCCACTTGGACCAGGTTAGTGAATACCCTTACTCAATCTCTTTTTATGCATTTCATACATAAATGAAGGAATTTATTATACATTATTTGTCTGTAAAAGGATGTACAAGTGTGTGGGAAAGTGTTTGAATGTCTTCCTTATTTGGAAATTGTGCATCATGTTTCTGTCACACTGAAACACTTTCCTTTGTTTACTTCAGACATAGAAGCGCTATCAGCTTGTGATGGTAATTAAATACCATGACTTGACACAAACAACTGCACAACACAAAATGCTTTTCACTGATTTTTTTTGCTGTTATCTCTCTTTAAATTATTACTACAAGAGGGAAAAGATGTATATTAATAAGGCTATGCATCGGCCGATGTGATTATCTATTACATTGTACTAACCAATTATTGGCACACCTGAGTGCAGGAGAACTTGATTGTTGTGCAAGAGCACAAATACCCATATTCCGGCTGTAACATTTTTATTTCAAGTATATCTGTCAGAATGAACAATATTACTTTATATCCAAATACACAAACATAACAGTTAACTAATATATCCAGCTGAACTTCGCAGATGGCCACCATCTTGAACTGCTGTTTGCTGTGATTAACACAAGCATCACTGAACCACAAAATACCATGGATGTTCTTCTCATTATTATCTTAAACCTAGTATTAGTTTTATTACATAATGTGATTTGTTCAAATATGGAACATAAATGAAACCCCGATCAAGCAAAAAACTTTATTGTCCTCGTATATTTGATTTACTAGATGTTCTACTGAGTTGTTTGGGTACAAACTGGGAGTTACACAAACCATATCTACAGAAGTCACAAGTACTGGGTATGTTGCTGCAAAAAGCAGAGAGTGGTCCAACAGAAGCGCGCTATTACAGAGATCCCATGGCCTCTACATTAGATGAATACATCAATAAAAGTGGCTTCTACAGTACAGACTACAAAGAAGTGACGAGAAGGCTGTGTACAACAGATACTATTGAGGAGGACAAAATTGCTAGAAAGAGTTTAGACGATTCAGCGCATATCATGGAAGCTAGAACGAAAAATATGCTGAGACTAAAGTTGAAAATTAAGGACTCTCTAGTAACCAAACATTGTAAGTATAAAATATAAGCAAACACAATATCTAATTTGTATTTTATGCATGTTTTGTTTTTTCTGTTTTTGTAGCAACCATGTGAAAATCTATATCATTTGTATCTACAATACTTGCTTGGTATTCTTTGGTAATTTGCTTTATTTGTGCCTATAGCATTTT